TTTGGTATACAAAGTTTACCTTTTAAAATCTGAGATGGTGACAATGTTTTAGCTGAAGATTCCACTTTCGAACTACGACATTTGCAACAATCCAATATACCCTGTTTTTTTCTATGGCTACAGGGTAAATAATGCGAACAGCCAAGCTTCTAAAGTTTCAGCCCTGCCTTGGCACCGAGTGAGAGATTGATTAAAGACGCCAAAGTCATTCATCATGCGATTCACAGCATGACAATAGGAAAAAATACGAAACTGAGCTCTATAACACAAAAAATCAACTAGAAACTTGATATGAAATAATTGGAGGCACCAAATTAACAAAATAATTAATAAATTGCAATAGAGTAAGTTCGTTAGCATTGACCAGCATTTCTAGACGTACAGTTCCAGAAAGTCTGTACTTCTGCTAAGGAAGATGTGGCAAAATAAAAATATACCCTATGAATTTTTGCCCAACGCAGCTGTTTATTAGTTGACATTCTCAATACTCTACTAAAGGAATATGCGAAGACTATAAAACTTTCAAAGCCCATCGGTTTTTGTTCATAAGTATCAATAATATAGGGTATTCATAATTTGCTAAACGAAATCTTAACCATAATTAAGTGCGTTTTAAGGCTGTTGACCAACACTGGCACTGGAAAATCGCATAAATATTGTTGTACTTTAATTTTACGACTCACCTTAAAATGGGTTCCGGCTTTGCCCGTGTTGTGTGTATTTGTGCATTTGTGTGGGTGTCTGGATATCTGTGAGTGTGTGTGTGTGTGTGTGTGGCTGCTGCTAAAAGATGTTCTTGCCGTTGTTGTTGTTGTTGTTGTTGTGCATCCTGGCGGCCATTTTGTACTTATGAAGCAGCTGAGGCTTTAAGTCTACAATTTGTCGAAATTCACATCTTTGCTATTTTGCTGTTTTTTTTTACGATTCAAGATAACGGGTTTTATTTTATCACTTTAGCTGCATTGTTTTTTTTTTTTTGCTATTATATTTTATTGATTTACTAACACTTTTTTTTGGAGGGGGGCTAAGCTGTATTTGGTCGCGGGTTCGGCTGCGGGTTCGCTATAAATCAAGTTTTCTTAAAGCTTTTCGAAAGGCCCCACGCACTAAGAAGAGGAAAAAAACAGCCGAACGGCAAATAGTTGAGAAATGAAATAAAATAGAAAAAAGAAACAAATTAAAGTGTAATGTAAAAAAGCAGTTAAACCACTTGGCTCTAGGTTGTACTCTGTTTATACACTCTTAACGAAAAACGGGTGGATTGGTGTTTGGCCATCTCCAATTGTAGCTGAATACCCAAAACTTATTTGAACAAATTTAAAGTGTTTTTTCTTAACTGCAAAAATTGTCATGCTCTAGTTTTACAGTTTAAAACTCACTACAGTAAACGCTCGCAAACTAGAATTGTTCATATCATATATATGTATATTTATTTATCTTTTGGTTCCTTGGTGCAACTTTCAGAAAGTCTAACACTTAAAATCACTTTTAATATCGACGGCTTCTAGTTGTACTACCTACAGTTACAGCTAAAAAGCTACTAACACCATAATCTTGGCAATCACAGTTAAAGTAACACTAACACAATCGTCCACCTATTTTTAGACTGGGAACAGAGTATGATGCCGACGAGAACTTTCGCCAGTTGTTACTGTCGTTTCTGTTGCTGCTGCTTCTTCTGCTCGATTTGGTGTTTGTATTTTATTTGTATTTTTTATATTTATGATTTCTTGTAACAACGAAACAGCTGAATAACAGCAGCAGCATCAGCAGCAGAGCAGCAACAGCAGAGACACTAGCGAACCTTTTGAGAGCCGGTTTCAAACAAAACGCAAACGCAGCGAAAAACGCGAAACAAGTTGCAAAAACGTTAACGTCTGGTTGCAAGTGACGTCGGCAGCTAACTAAGCGGAGCAGCAGCTGATAGCGCAGTGCGTTGCTAGAACTTGTGCAAAGGACCTGCAGCCGGGCTCTGAAAGCATCGGCAAAATGTCAACTTATGTAAAGCTTCACCAGTAACAGAATCAGCGGCAGAGACGACGGCAGCAGCAGCGACTGCAAAAAGAAGAAAAAAATTGTTTTCCGGCATGTGCTACTGCACATATACATACATACATATGTGCGAACGAGCGAGATGGCAGCAATGCAATTACTGCCCAAATTCTAAGTAACAGCCTATGCATGCTTATGTGTGTGTTGGCGCCTGCGCTGCGCCTGCACAGCTGAGAAGCTTCTGCTGCGACCGCACGCGCTGTTGCTAGGGGCCCGACTGCAAAAGCTCAGCTGTTTTGTGCTGTTACAACAAAGAGTTGGGGGATGGGGCGACTGACTGGAATTTCTATTTAGCTTGGCAACCCAGAAGTAACGGTCTTCTGGGCCAACGGTTTTTCCGATTGATTGCAGCAAATCGAAATATGTAAAACAAACGCAATGAAAACAGGTTCGCAGCAGAGCACAGTGTGACGAAAGCTGCAAAATGCGTGTACTGCAAAAGACCTTGCCAAAGGATGCCCACAGTAAATAGCAAACAAATTTTGCAGGGTATACCCTCCCCTCTCGTAACAGTCAGTCAACAAATGCAGTATATTTTCGCAAAAGTTCTCTCTGAGAGCGCTCAATCACTGTGTCTCTTTCCTTGGTCTTGTTCTTGCGCTCGCATACCACAGTGCAAACCTGTTTTATTGTTTAAAGCATTTTCGCCGCCCGCCTGCCACACTAAGAACACTTGCCACCAAAATGTTCCGTTTCACAACATTTTTTTTTTTTTGTTATTGTTTGTTGTTTGTTTTTATGTTTTTTGATTATGTTGCTGCTTCTGCTTCTTTGCGTTCGAAGCTGCCGCTACCGTTTGGGCTGCTATTGTTGTTGCTGCTGCTTTTAAAAAATTCAACGACACGCGACTACACCTACACATACACATTCATACACGCACGACGCGCTCGCTCACTCGCACATACACACTCACACGAAATGGGAAAAAATAACACGAGAGCCGACAACGGTCTCCACGTCCGCGCGCTATAGAGAGAAAAAACGAACTGAACACTGAAATCCGTTTGCAGCCGTTCGAAGCTCTTTGGTATTGGCAACATGTTGGGCAGACAGTTTCACCAAATTTACCAACAAGAAGCAACTCCTTAGCATAACGGAGCTGTAATCCGTATCGCACAAATTTTGTACATTTAATTAATTTTTTTTTTATTTGAATTAAGATTCCTTTTCTATTAAAGGCAACTTGGATTTTTACCGTGCGTTTTCAGCAACTTTTAAACCGAACCTCTCACCTCTCCTGCAATAACTGCGCATAATTGCACGATGCACTCAAAACTATGGTGATCGCATAGTGCAGCTAAAACTGTTTGGGAAACCATGTGCATCGCGAACAACTCAAATGTGTTTGCCTTGCAGACAATTTTTGCTGTAACTATGCATTAAGTTGCACTTGCACAATTTGTAATTAAAGAATAATATATGTAAATTATTTGTTTATACTTGTAAAACACTTGGCGAATATGTAAAACAGAGCGCGCGCAGACCTACACCTTCGACAGTTGTGTCCGTACTAAGCGTGGGTGTGTGAATTTGCTTGCATTAACGAAGCAGCTTAACGAAGAGCCAGCCTAACAGTTCGTCCAGTTAACAGTTTCGTTAGGTATCTAACAGAATGTTATTGCTAAACTTATGGCACAGCACCGTTAAAATTTAAATATTAGAGGCAAAACGAGTTTCTGATAATTTACCATTTAATGTACACGAGCATAAAACAATAAAGAAAAACGACAAAAACATTTGTTATAATTAATAGCTAATTAAGACAAAATATGTATATTAGGATAAGACAAAAAGGCGAATAAAAATAAAGCACTTGTTAACAATTGCTTAGGGTTACGTGAATGCATAAATAGTTAAATATTTATAAATAAATAAATATATATATATACAGATGTATATATACATTTATTTATAAATAAAGGACGACACAGGGTCCTTGTTAACAGGTTTTCATAGCATGTATATTTATATGGTAAGTATGAGCTATTTGCTAAAGTTAATCGTAATCGTAAATTCAAATACAAGCTCCAAGTGGTTGTAAGTAAATACATATATTATAATGCTATAATATCCGGGTATTTAAATATATATATATTTATATATCGGTGATATAGCCTTTGCTCAGCATGGGCTTTTATTTATATACTTTCATTTTGGATCTTAAGGTTCTTTTTCTCCTCTACTTTGATTGCACTATACAACAAATTGAAACAGTTTCTAGTGTCACAGAGCTCCTAACCTTACAGATTTCGTAAGATCTCCAGGGTAAGCTATGCTGAGAATTATTGCGAAACGTATGTACAATATGATAAAAGTCACAAAAATTTTGAATCTTTACGTTTTCCATACAACTGACAGCATATACGGAATGTCCTGATAACATAAGATTAAACATATTGTTTGCTATTGCTGACTGTCAGGAGTACAGTTAAATATAAGATAGATCAAGTCGAGAGGGCCCGACGAGTAAATACCCTGTACATCTGCTCCACTTTATAACAAATACATTCTTTTATGACTTATGTGATTATTGTCCGATTCTAATGAAATGCAGTGCCTAAACATGATTTTTCAATGTGTGCATATACAACAAATGATGATTAAACCATCTCAATTTGGGCGGATGGATTGATACAAAAGTGAAATATTCTTGATCCCTGTGTACTTTATGAGAAACTCAATAACAAATTTGGTGTCTAGATTTTGTTTTCTCAGATAAATGCTCAAAAATCTTGCAGTTATCGATTCAAAAAAATCGTAGTTATTAAAAACGAAATGTTTAACATGTTTATATAATATATACAAATTGAAGTATCTGATAACAAATAGCAATTCTATAGACAAACAGACAGCATACATATGCATACTCTCTGGTCATTCCGCCCGTTACGTACAGTGGGTACAGGGTATTATTGCATGGTAACATTTGAAATTTACAAAATAGCTTATTTACGCGAAAAAAAAACAAACTGACTTTTTATAAGATCGTCTAATCATTGAAGTTCTGCTCGCATAGCTCGAACTCTGTGGCCACTTAAAAAATTGCTGTTTCACAATTCTAATCATAAGATAAGTGAATAAATAATCCAACATATTGTGCAGAAAAGGTACTTTGAAGGGATTCAATTTGGTCATATTCCATTCGAGTTGACTTTACGTCGACAATCGCATGTTGGCCAGAGCCAATGTATTGCGTTCAATAAGCGACCGCATCCGCTCTCGCAGATACTCACAAATGGAGCTGTAGTTCTCATGATGCGCCAGCTCCATGGCCGTTAGACCGTCCTGGTTCTTGAGCAGCACATCGCTGCCAGCGGCCACCAGCTGCTTGCAGACGGTCATGTGGCCGAACATGGCGGCCGCGTGCAGAGCCGTTTCCCCATTGGGCAGCAGGCCCAAATTGGGTCGATATTTTAGCAGCACTGTGACCACTGAAGCGTGACCCTTGTGGGCGGCCTTGAACAGTGGCGTCGCACCATCACAGCGCACCGTGTCCACATTGGCGCCATTCTGCAACAGCACCTTGCAGATGTGATCGTGGCCCATTTGGGCGGCTATCCAGAGTGGGGTCGCTCCATCGATGCGTTTAATGTCCATTGATGCATGCGCCAGGATGAGCAACGACAAAACCGTTCGATGACCATTTTGGGCCGCTATAAAAGCGGGTGTGGCACGATCCTGCAAAGAATCAAATATTAATAGCCAATTCGCATGAAGTAGAAAGAGAGCATAGTGCGGGTTATCGAAGATGCAACATGAGATTCTCTGCGAGTATGCAAATTTGTTGTTTCAATTGATAAACACTCCGTGAGGAACATTCTGTGTTACCCGTTTGGCAAGTGTATAAACGCACCTTCATGCAGGCATTCACATCGGCCCCACAGTCCAACAGCTCTCTGATAATCTTCACATGCCCGCCTTGGGCGGCCACAAAGAGAGGCGTGCCGCCGTCCAAAGAGGGCGTGTCGACCTTGGCGCGCGCCTTCAGCAATATTCGCACCACATCCAAATGGCCGCCTTGGGCGGCAAAGAACAGCGCCGTGGTGCCCGTCGATCGGCGCGAGTTCAGATCAGCGCCCTGTTCGAGCAGCTCCAACACGCAATGGATGTGGCCACCAGCTGCAGCGAGAATCAGGGGCGTGGTGCCGTCCTATAAAGAGCAAAAGAAACCAATTTGATCAGAACAAGTTCACAGCGAATGCCCTCAACTTGATGAAAAGTGGAAGAGTTTGTATGAATCGCATTGTTGATTTCTCTCCAAATTTGTTTAAAAGCAAACCCTGGCAAAACCGGGTAATGCCCACTATAAAATAATATATTTTAAGCGTATCATATAAAGTACTGTCAATTAAGACAGAAATAAAAGATTGTAGCGATATGGTTTATAAAAATGAGATCATAAATACGCGACTTTATAACCCGATATTATTACATAAACTTGTTTAAACAGTAGACTGAGTCGTTAAAGCGTGAAGTCATTCGCAAAATATTACAACATTTGTGAAGTTAATAAATAAATACAAATGAATTTTCAGCTAAAAGACAAGTTAACACGTTGTTTACAAAATTGCGCACCAATTGGCAAATATGTTAAGTCGAAAAGCGAAAGAAAAATAAAAACGAAATTATTAAATTTCACTTGAGGCGCAGCGAAGCGCGCTCAAAAGTCAGCTGCATGAGCTGGACACAAATACCGATGCATAGCCTGGCCAGTTCACCATATTCTCGATTTGGCCTCAAGCAGCACACAAGGGCAACCCAAATCCCCCGCCGTTGCAGCTACGTGACTGTGCCACCCCAAGGGGCAAGCACACCAGCAGTTGCCGTTTGGTCAGAGTTTTCTGATTTTCGCTCCGATTTCGCTCAGCTGCACGCATGCAAATCAACACGAAACGAAACATAACAAAGCAATTACGAGAGATCCGACTACGATATACCCTGGCAGTACACAAATTCATTTAATTAATTAATTGATTTCAAATTCCTGTGGCATGATGGTATTTCGGCTACCCATCTTTTATATTTGGCTAGAAATAACATTTGGAAATTTGCAAGAAACTAAGAGAAGGAGAAAATATAATACACCCGATCAGGATGCTGCCCTTTGCCTGTTGCATACCTTGGGGCCAAAACCATTCAGCCCATTTCCAATTGGTACAGGGTATAACAAAAAGAAACGAAACAATTTGAATTTCGCTTTGACTGGTGAAAACTAATCGCAATTGCAGTTGAATTCATTGGACGCTCAATTAAACAATTCAACCAGCTGGCAATGTTTTATCACAATCATTTAAGCATTTAAGATAATGATACAGCAATTATATAATTATAAACTGCTTATTGAATCAAAGAGATTTTCAGCTTTGCTTTGAATTCTTAAGAATTCTGTGTGTATACTATCACGTGGAGATATGTATTTCAATTATCAGACTTTATAATTTCTGTATATAAATATATGTAAATATAAGTATTTATTTATTTACTTAATTAATTATTATACAAAAAAAATAATTGCTAGCTCCTAAGGCCATCGACTCGACAGTTAAATTATTTATAGTATGATGTGTATATTATATTAAAATATATCTACATTATTATATGCTATTTAGTATGTTATGGCGTCTAAGAATTTAATAAGCAATTTTATATTAATGTGAGTAGGTGTGGTTAGAAGAGAGGTAGGTGGGATTTGCCCAAATAGACAAGTGCTAAGGTTATTAAGTTGTGGGCAGTTATTCAATATGTGTTGGATTGTTAATTCTCCCCCGCATTTTGGGCAATTGGGATTGGCTTTTCCTTTAAGCAGGTGGTCTTGGGTTAAGGCGGTGTGCCCCGTTCTGAGCCGGGTGATAGCACTGCAATGTCTTCTGTGCCATGAAGCTGGATATATATAAGTAAAATGCCCATTTCGAAGTATATTTGACTAACATATCTAACATACTATATCGAAATTTAATGCCGAGTCGTAACTGCCTTTCAAGCTGTCTCAGCTTTATTCCTAACTGATATCTGGAACATATTTCAATTCCATCGGCTGCCTTCTCAATTTTTAAGTAAAATGTCTCTCAACTTGCGTGAATTATAGAACACGCTATGAGCAGCTGCAAGCAGCTGATTGTTCGTAGAAGTTTTATTAATAGCAAAGACAACTTTGGAGCATATCACTCACCTCATCCTTGCAGTCCACGTGCACCTTGCCGGTATCGAGCACACGGCGCATCTCCACAACGTCGCCGCGCAGCGCTGCCAGATGCAACATCACATCGGAGGGCGTTTCCTTCTGTAAAAGTTGTTGAACAAAATGTAATGTAAACAAATTAATTAACAAGTTAAGCTTTGGCAGCTGTCAAAAGCGAGACGGCACTTGACTAATAGCGCCGGAGTTTGAGTTCGGGTTTGGGGAGCGATCCGACACCCACACACACACACAGCATTTGTTGTGCTTGCGGACGCCAGTCTTAAGTAACATTAATGAAGGAAATTAGTTTGTACTCGCTCCACACGGCAAATTATAGTAATTAGTGCCCAGAGGGGCAGCTAAGGAGAAAAAATACAAAAGCGCTGGGAATGAAAAACTTTGAACAGCGGATGTGGATGCATTTTTACAATGCTTTGCGGACGCTTTGACAACCGACGATATATGTGTGTGTTAACCCCTAGCTGGACGCATTGTATACATTAGCCAAGGGTGTCAGTTGATTGGCAAGCAGAGACCAGAGAGATGGTTATTCAAATGTGAAAAATAGTCCTTAGAAGAAACTAAATGATATATGAAACCTAACATCGCTGAGCCTAAAAACTTTCTTTGCAATTTGATTTCCTTAAGGAGAAGTTAATATTACCAAGGATTTGCAGATCTTAAACGGCTGTGTTTTATCTTTTATGAGTTAGTAACTATTTACATTTAACGGCAACCAAATGGACACAAAAGTAATTGAAATATTTATTTATTTAATATTACAGTTTTAAGAGCCATCAAATGATTTAATGTTTTTCTCATTTGGAGTAGAATAGTTTAATAAAACATTTCTTTTACTTTTACAAATTTTTTTGACAAGCTAAGCTCTTGTACTAGCTCATATGACAAAAAGTTTACTCGGCTGAGCTTTGCGTAATTTTTAAAGAGCTGTGCTTAGTTTAAGCACCAGGCATACTTGAGGGTTAAAGAGCACTCCGCTGCGCCGAGTGATGGGGTCATCAGTGTACAAACAGTTTTCAGAGGAAATAAACGTACAATAAATATTTGAACTATTTAAATAGACACTGAAACTGGGAGAAGACTGTCAGCTCGTGAGTTAATGAAGCGCATTAAGTGAGGGGCTATTCGCATAGCCACCTGTTGAAAGACAACAAAAGCGACACGAAGTAGCCCCCCAACATGACATCACTCAAGTTGCCACAGTGTGGCAACAACAATGCAAATGCTGACATAATAATGATGATGATCATAATGATGCTGATGCTGCCGATGATGATTGTAATATTTATAGACAAACTGAAATGTCAGCAGGCAGCCGCAGCAAGAGCCACAGCAGCAGGTGAGAAGCACTTGTAAGCCTTCAGACAAACGCTAGACACTGCGCTTGCAACACGCTTGTGCCACACACTCTTGTGGCAAGTGCAAATGCTAACAATAGTCGTCTTTCGACTTGATATTTCTGCAATCGCATCCATAGTCAAGTGTCCACTTGAGCTGTTTTGGAATATATATTCTCTCGCTCTATCAGCATGCCAAATGCGATATTATCATGCCAAAAGTCAAAGTATAAACGACAAAGAGCAAAAAACAACAGGTAAAAATGTTGTATTCGGACTTAACCGACTGCACAATACTCTTCAGAAAAGCTTAGGGCAAGCTGTGGAGGTATGTGTTTTGATAAGTAGAGGTCATGACATCGACATGAAGAGGTCAGAATGCCACTTTGATTCGTTTCAAATCAAATTCAAGTTTAAATACTTTTTCTCATACATCAAAATGTGCTTTGCAGTAAATCACCATGCCCTCTAACACTTTGTGAAGAGTGCTTAACAATAAGTTCTCAAATATTTACTATATATAGTATATTCTTGGCTAATGCATGACGGCGATCTTTGTCTTCGCGCAAGTTTGAAATCAAGTGTGAGTAATTTATCTTGTTCAACTACACTTAAGTAGATCAAATAAACACAGTGTAGATATGATGAAAATAGAAGTTAACTCACGTCTTTTCAGAAAATATGTTAAATATTAAGAATATATTTTACAAATTTACAGGCAACATCTTTTTTTTTTGACACGAGGCCAATGGGAGGAAGCTGCTCTTAGCCTGAGTCATTAAAACATCTGCTATATTTTGATATATTTTATATTTATGAGCTTATATATTTATAGGAGCTAATAATCTGTTATATATATATCTATTGGTTTAAATAATATATTATCGCTGCGCTTTCAAGAGGTGATGCGCACACATATTTTGCCAACCCGCACACTCCCCCAGACAAGCTGCCCAAATGGGTAATATCTAAGCAGCTTGCCGGTAATCAACTTTATATAGGTCAAACTCACCTTTAGTGACATGTTTTGATTGCTTAGCTCTGTGCCGTCTCCACGCGTTCCCTCTCTCTCGCTCTCTTTTGGTTTGGTGGCAGTTGCAGTTGCACCTGCTTACAGGCCCGTTACCATTGACCGATTTACAAAGTGTAACGCAGCCGGCTCCAGCTCCAACTGCAGCTCCAGCTTCAGGTCGAGCACCAGAAAACAGCACCAACAACTTCAACTTCTAGTAACAGTAATAGCGCAGCAACAACAATAGTAACAGTAACTACAACAACGGGCAAGTGGCACCAATCAAATCACAACAACAGCAGCAACAATAACAGAGATCATCATCGAGGAACCAACGAAACGTCCGTCCAATTGTCCAACCGACTGTCCAACCGACCGACCCACCGACCAGTTCCAAAGTATCCCAAGTTGAAGAGCTGCAAAATAAAAAGCAAACCGAGTCACGGGGCATATCAGAATTAAGTTGCACAGACAGCTGGGATTAGAAGTCGGGGAATTGGGAGTTACGAGCGAGGAGTTTGGCTATTTGTCGGGTCGACAGGTTTCCCAAGCAACTAACCAATTAGAATGCAAAACAAAAAACTAGAAGCAAAGCAACGAAAAAGTTTCAATGCAATCGCAAACAAGAGCGCAATTTAATACTGCTACAAAGAAAAGGCTATAATTATAGTGGCTCCTACATAATCATAGGGCCAGATAATATGCATAGAGTAGCTGGTGAATTTGTAAGAATCAAAGTTGAATGCACTTCGAAGAAGATTTAAATTAAAGAGGAGCTTTTATAATAACAGCCTAAGATTAGGTTGTAAACGTTGCTTTCTTTCTGAGTATTAAAGTAGTTTTAGTATGAGAATTGATTGTAAAAAATTTGCTTTATTTTAAAGAAAAACCTAATGTAGTACGAGCCGAGGCTCAAGGATTCGAGCTGCAGTTATCGTAGTCTTATAGGCCCTTGGAGCCGCAGTGTTCAATATGCGAGTGACTACTGTATATTTCGCATTTATACTAAATGAACATCAGTTTGTTTCTTGGCTTCCTTAGGATAGTTAAATGCTCCGCAATTATCTGCTTTTTTTTACTGTCATGCATTTCCATTTGATTTTGCATGTTGCAAGCAATTATTGTTATTTTCCTTTTAATTTTATAATTTTCCCGATTGATGTCGATACGCCCCGTCAATTGACAGGTGGGCGGGGTCAACGGGCCTAAAAGGCCAAGCAATAGACTTTTACTTTGCTCGTAGCTTTATTTATTGCATTTCAGGCAGACCACATTTTGGTACTTTTTTTTTTTTCTTTCTCTCTTGATGTTTTTTACGAGCATCATCAGCGTCTCGCTGGCTGTGTTCCCTTTCAACTTTTGACCTAGAAAGTGCTTTACTTAAACTTTTGTACATGTACTCTAGACGTCATCAACAACATGCGGCACAGCAGGCACGCATTTTGGTGCTGACATCACAGTTTTTCAAACATATTTTCTTTTATTTGTTCGTCTACTTTTCATTTGCTGGCATTTGAGAATTATTTTGAAGGCCCTAACGGCAAATGTGGGCTCAGTTAAATTACTTTTTACTAGACGCTTTGTTAGTTTTGTTTTGATATTAATTAAAAACAATGCATTCTCATTTCCCCCTAGCTTGTATTTCCCCCAGTTAAGAATGGGCTTTACCGAACTACTTTTGTTTGTTTATACGACAATTAAATGCTTTCAAAATATAGACGTTAATCTATTTCCAGAGGTAATTCGTAGCTTGCCTTGGTTTACCTAAGGTTCTAGGTCAAATACTCGAGATAAGTATTAAATATGATAAATGTTTTGTGTTGGCAGCTCTTTATGGCACTTCAATTTTGTACGCTATCAATAACTATGGCAATAATTTTAGTTTTATGTGGCCACTATTATTAAGTTTTCGACATAATCAATATTAACATTTTATTGCCTAATTACAAACAACATAAGCTTTTTTTATGCTATGCTATGTTATGTTATTAAAATGTCTTTTTTCTTCAATTGGCTTCACTTTCATTTTGGTTTATAATGCCTGGGCAGCAACTATTTATTGCATATGCTTCTGTTGTTGTGGGATTTTGTATATCGTTTAAAAATAGCAGCTCACTCAACAAATGATCTCATTTTCAGCGCATTAATTTACATTTTCTGTTTTTACAATATGCAAAAATCACACACAGGCGCTAAAGGTCAAGAGGCTGTCAGCCGGCGCGGTATGAAGTCTGTTCAAGAAATTTACGACTGCAACGTACCGAGAGCACATAAAAGAAAATCACGCCGCAAAGCTTTTGGCAGAGCAACCAACGTGAGGCAACCGAACGCTTTGAAAGTTGAAAGTCAACTGAGAAGCCAAGCCAAATAGTTGGACAACAGAACCTGCTAAGCTATGGAATACACGAATCTAAAATTGGTTTTAGCCTTATAAAGCTAAGCAGAATAATAATATATGTAGCTGGCTTTTCATTTTGCATATTATTAATTAGGAGTTAAGTTGTGGTAAATATGAAATAGAAGTAACGGCAAAGCTGGCCAATTCAAAGATCTCACGCTTTATTATGTTAACAGGCCATGTTATGTTACTGTTAATGGTGATCGTATGTTATGTTGTGTTGATTAGAAACTGTTAAACATTATTTGCGATTTAACGGAATAAATATTTGGATGAACGTTTGTCGGTTGCTTATTCTCAACTACGTTTTTCTTATGCAGCAGCTGCGTTAATATTATAAAAAAAATGTTTTATAAAGTTGCCGGATTATCCAACTACTACAAACAACAGTATAATAATGTGTATATTGAAATACATTCGCCCACTGCACAAGACGAACTGCAAATACGAGCCAGTCAGACGCGTTAATCCGTAATAATAACAAACTCACACAGTCAAACACCTTCACACAACAACACACACACACATGCACATAAAAATACACACACAGTTGGCGCAAGTAAAAAAATCCTGCGGAAGTCCCATTGACGGAAAATCGGCGCTGACACCGGATCAAGGACGCCGACGCCACAGCCTCTGTCCAAAATCAATACTCACATTCAAAGTAACCACAGGGCTCGTTCACTTATATTCAATTTATTATGAGCACACACTTTTGCCACTAATTTAACAATTTTCGTCTATTATATTCTATGGATATAGGACTACGGGTTAACAGCTACCGACTTTGCAATGGGCGCTAAGGCCGTGAAAGCTCCGGCGCCAAAATTGATGCAATGCAGCACTAGTCTTTCACATTGCCAAACGACTAATAAATATTTATGAACGGTTTTCGAACAACCGATATATTCGATAAGAAGCATCGATACATTCAGCGCAACAAGCTACGAAACATCGCAAACTATTTAACTAAATAAATATAAATTCAGTCCGCATATTAGAATGCGTTTTGATTAAATTCTTGCAAAATGTTAAATGTATAAAACCAATGTTAAAATTCCTTGAGACTTAATAGTATATTTAATTATTTAAGAAGGCAACAGAATAGCAGATGTTAAGAAAATAATAATATTGAATTTAAATGATGTGGAATTATCACTGTATATTAAATTATATTTTAACAAATTCAAATTAGTTTTTTTATTATACAAATTATTATTGTTTATTTTACACAGAATAGCATTGACAGATATATCGATATTTTGTTGCAACCCTATAGCGCAGCCAACTTCACTCTTTCTCTTTTTAGCCTCCATTGACGAGTGTTGGTTCGCTAATTTGTAAATTATTACAAAATGTATGTAAAAATACGTTTATGCATATGGAAACGCACACAAAATACTGATAAAATGTTATATTTTTTATTGCAGCATAATGGAGAACGACGCCGGTGAGAATGTTGATTTGTACGTGCCCCGCAAATGGTAGGTGTTGAACACGTGTTTCGCGGCTCGCCCGGGCCGTCAGTGCAGCAGCAAAATTTACAATTCGATAACCATTGTGGTTTGTTTGCAGCTCGGCATCGAACAGAATCATCCACGCTAAGGACCACGCCTCCGTGCAATTGAGCATTGTTGTTGTGGATCCCGAGACCGGTCGCCAAACCGATGGCACCAAAACCTATGCCATCTGTGGTGAGATCCGTCGCATGGGCGAGTCCGACGATTGCATTGTGCGTCTGGCCAAGAAGGATGGCCTCATTACCAAGTGAGTCCCATATATTGTACCAATAGCATCAAATCATGAACTCTTGTTTTTGTTTTGCAGGAACTTTTAAATAAATTGTACACAACAAGAATTGGTAATAAAGTGAATTCCTTTTGTATTTAACGTAAGGTCCACTTATTTTGTGTTTTCTTTTAAACCGAAATGAACACTGGCGAGCCCGTGCATCTACAGTTTGGAGTCGTGATTTCATTTGGAAACCACATAGAGAACTACAATAAACCAAGCTTTTTGTTTTAAAATGAAGCATGTTTTGTGTTAGTAAATTAGCTACTATAGCTGCTCGACTAAAGACTAGTTCAGCCACCATCGATGATAGTCTGGAGCAGGTCTTAGATTAACAAGTTTGGCTAGGGAGAAGTCACTAAGGAAGTGATTATATAGTTTACCTCTATCCGAGCAAATGTACCCAATGGTTGTTGGTCTTTAACCAGAAGGTTACTACAAGTGCAAGCAGATGCCAACAATGTGCAACTTAACCACTGCACTTTGTACATATATATAACGTCTGGGTCATCTGGTTTTATTTCATTTTATGTTGATCCAGTACTCTGTCTCAGCATATGGTGAAAATATGCTATACATGAGTTTATTTGATCCAAGGACTATTTAAAAGTTGTACCTAAATTATTTTAAGCAGCCGCCAACTAAGTGGACTGGTTAATACATCTTAGCATTGCAAACACTAAACTGCATAAAAAACATGATAAATTACAAGATCAACTAAATAAAAATATCTAATTAAATAATAAACTGATATTTTCATGGTCTAAAACATTGTATGGTCGTATTTGGCGGTTTTACTAGCTCGGTATGATATTTATCGATATATAAATAAATCACGCAGTGTTGCCATATAGTCTGTATGTGGAATATTTTCAGTGCTAGGAAGCAACAAAAAATACCAACAACGCACGTGTTTCTTCAAACGTTTCATTCATTACTCTGCCCCTCAGTGAAGCACACAAGCCGAGAGGTTGCATTAATATTTTTATAAATACATAAACCAAAAACGAATAAAAAATGGTATGATTGTATTTGAGTATTCAATAAAATGTTTTACTCATCGAAGTTTCGATTTTCCACAGACCGAAGAAGTGAACCCGAAAGCATTCCCCTTGGCCGATGCCCAGTTGACCGCCAAGATCATGAATTTGCTGCAGCAGGCACTTAACTACAATCAACTGCGCAAGGGAGCCAACGAGGCCACCAAGACACTTAATCGTGGCTTAGCCGACATTGTTGTACTTGCCGGCGATACGGAGCCCATTGAGATTCTGATGCATTTGCCACTGCTGTGCGAGGACAAGAACGTGCCGTATGTGTTTGTGCGTTCCAAGCAGGCATTGGGACGTGCCTGTGGTGTGTCTAGGCCCATTGTCGCGTGCTCTGTGACCACCAACGAGGGCAGTCAGCTCAAATCGCAGATTACATCCATACAGCAGGAAATTGAAAGGCTGTTAGTTTAAGTTAAGAGGTGACTCTGTAAATGCGTACAAATCTGTAAACTGTATCATTAATAAAAAAGTGTATTTTTACAAATATGAAGTAACCATTTAAATTACGAATTTTATTTTGTTTATAGACTGTTCAATTATCGATGTTCGATATTTGAGAGCATGCTGTTGTGCACTGCCGCTTTGCAACACTGCTTGAACAGCTGTTTTAAAATGTCAAAAAGTTCGCCGTGTGGAATTTGGCAATTTTTATAGAAATTTTTGTTGGTCCAGATCTCCGGCAAACCCACAACAACTAACAAAAATGCCTAACGATTCGCTTGACTTAAGGAAACATTTAACTCAATGCAAGTGACAAAAAGCATACAAAAGCAAAAAACACAAAGCACGCAACGCCTACAACAACAAAAGCAACAGCAGCAGCGCAAAAATTAAGCGTCTGGCAGCAGACGGTGGCGCTTCAGCTCGAATTTCAGCAGCGACAACAGCAATTGCAACATGAAATTACTCGGGAAATACGTCGATAAGGGCATGCAGGGGTAAGTAGCATTCGATCATATGCAATATGTGTACTTATTTCCAATTCGCAGCAATGTAACCCTCGTGCCCGAGGAGCCGGAGGACATGTGGCACGCCTACAACCTAATTGCTGAGGGCGACAGCGTGCGTAGCACTACAATACGCAAAGTGCAAAACGAAACGGCCACAGGCTCATCGACGAGCAGCCGTGTGCGCACCACTCTGACCATTGCCGTGGAGGCCATCGACTTTGATACTCAGGCCTGTGTGCTGCGTCTGAAGGGGCGCAACATTGAGGAGAATCAGTTCGTCAAAATGGGCGCCTATCACACGCTCGATCTGGAGTTGAATCGCAAATTTGAGCTGCGCAAACCCGAGTGGGATACGATAGCACTGGAACGCATTGACATGGCCTGCGATCCTACCCAATCCGCGGATGTGGCTGCTGTCGTCATGCAGGAAGGCTTGGCACATGTCTGCCTCATTACGGCCAGCATGACGCTGGTGCGCAGCAAAATCGAAGTGTCCATACCGCGAAAGCGCAAGGGCTATGTGCAGCAGCACGAGAAGGGCCTGGCCAAGTTCTACGAGCAAGTCATGCAAAGTATATTGCGTCATGTCAATTTTGAAATAGTCAAGTGTGTGCTGATTGCCTCGCCGGGCTTTGTGCGCGATCAGTTCTACGACTATATGTTCCAACAGGCGGTCAAAATGGACTATAAAGTGCTGCTGGATAACAAGAGCCGATTCATGCTGGTTCATGCATCCTCCGGCTTTAAGCACTCTCTAAAGGGTACGTAAGACTCGCAAGAACTGTTTACATTTTTAAATTGAATACTGTACATTCTAACAGAGGTGCTGCAAGATCCGGCTGTGGTGGCTAAAATGTCCGATACGAAAGCCGCTGGCGAGGTTAAAGCACTGGAACAGTTCTACATGATGCTGCAGTGTGAACCAGCCAAAGCTTACTATGGCAAAAAGCATGTCCTGCGCGCTGCTGAGGCACAATCTATAGAAACATTGCTCATTTCCGACAATCTGTTTAGGTGAGTGCAATGAAAAAGATTATATTAATTATATGAGGTAGTCTATTAAATGTATTTCTAAGTTAAAGTCTGTTAGTTGTAGAAATGGCTTATCCTTTGAATCAGGACATATTTCAAATACTCTACATACATACACGAATTAGGCACTTCATTGTTCAGTTTCCTATTCAGTCAATTACCGAAAAGTAGCGTTTTAAATAGAGATCCTTAAACTTTCAAAAGGCATTAAAATTTCGCATTCTTTTAGCAATGCCTGTTTGTTTTCTATGTATGGCAATCTTAATCAAGTTTGCATCTTTAATTGATATTTTTATCCTAGTACAAAGTACTCCCCAAATATACAAAAATACTCCCCAGGGTGTTTAATTTTGGGCGCAACGAAAATTATCGTACATAAGCTACCCCTGCAAGCTATCTTCTCTTATGTACAGAGCTTCCTTAACAAGTTCGCTTTGCTGCTTGCTTATCAAAGCTACAGTAAGAGTTGGCCTAGATTACAGCTTATTTACATATTTACCTCATGCAATCAGCTTGTTCGTATTGCTGTAACCTTATCAACTGTAGTTACCCCGCATATATGTCGCACTACATGGCAATATTTGAAGCTCAATCAAGCAGGAAGATCAAGAGCACGCTCAGTGACAAGCCCACAGCGCCAAACCTTCAACTTTACCAAATTGCCACCGAGTATTGCGACAGTTTTGCGTACAAAAATTATATTTTTAGGTTTCATTTTTGTTTGGCATATGAAGCAGCTGTTGATGCGCTACATGCGCTATATACGACTTGTGTGCGTGGTTAAATATTGAAAGAAGGTAAATATACTCTAAGAAATGGTCTTATTTTGCAAACATAAAACATATGCGAGTTTGTTAAAGTTAATCGTTTTCAAAACGTAACTTTCACTTAGCTATTTGATTTGTCTTAACTGAGCTGAGTCGTCACAGCACGATCAGCATTTGCGTTTTATGAATAAATTTCATGGTTTTCTCTGGACACGGTAGTTGTACTGCAATTATAAAATCTGACTCAATCGCTGAACATTATCACTATGCTATAATTAAAAGAAACTGATCGCTAGCTTTCTAACCGATCAACAATTTAAAATTATCATTTGAATATATTTGTAATACATATTTCAAGCTGTGGTATGATATGAACGTTTTGTTCTAGCCCGGGTCTTGATCTAGATTCTAGAATCACACGCTTTATACGTTATTTATTCATTTATAGATCATTTGTGGTTAAATATGTATTGGATTATATCGTCATGTGATCGTCGAACTGAGCAATGTTTACCTATTCATCTGAGTTGTCTTGTAGTAGATCAAATTTTTCCTGAGGTATTTCATTAGATCATTTAAAAATGAAGAATGTACGGCATGAAGATCGGTCTTTGATCAATATTCTGGTCTCTTATCTCTCGCACTTCTATGTTTGATTTAACATCAAACGAATATTTGTTAAGAAAGTGTTGCTGGTACTTGATGGTTCATAAGGTAATAATAGATCGCGATCATCAATGATCCTATTTTTTGTAGCGCACACAGTTGTCTCCGCTTCCACTGATCTTGAAGTGCTTCCAGATCTTTAGTCTGGCACAACTTGTGCACAATTTAGCCATTTAAAGAAGGCACGTCCGAACACGCTAATTTGATGGGCCACCCCTCACCCGTCACCCCTGGCTCTGACATGCTCATGATCAAGGTTGGTCGCCCGTAGAGTCGTCGCCATTTTTGGCTCTTAATTTTGTTGTTGTTGCTTTTGTTGTTTTGTTTACGTTTTGTTTGAATTCGAATTTGTATCTGTATCTGAAAAGCGCCTCTCGCCACAGACCGTTTACATTTTAATGAGCCGTTGAAATTCCTTTTAACTGAGCTACAAAAAAATGAAAAGATTTGTTGCTTTTTATGCAAACTGCGTGGCATGCAATTAAATTAAGTATTATTGTTTTTGATTTACTTAGAATTAACGCTTAAAGTTCTATGCAAAAATGTGTGTAAATTGCTTTTTATGTTAAATTTAGCACGTTTTAATCAGTCCCTTAATTTATTGTAGTTCAGCTCTGGAGCTTCGCCTCCTACTCCTTCTTCTTCTCCTCCGCCAGCGTAATCAGAAACTATTCAAATCACAAGTCGCCAAAGTCGCCTTTGTCGTCGGGCGTTTTGCTTGGGCTTTATCTCGACATTTTTGATTGCTGTTGATTGTTCCGCAAATTGA